CACCCACCCAACCAACCACTCACCATAATCGCAAAAGTTTGGTGTGCACCAAGGTGTGCTGCACCGAGCGGTCTCCGGATGGCGCCTAACAGTTAAGCAATACAACGCAGCTCGTCTTGGCGGGTGGCCTACTCTGAGGTGTCAGGGAGTGAGGGGGTGAGAGCCTCAGCGCAGCGGACGAGCACTCCGGTCGGAAGGAGCGGGGAGGCAGCACCTCCCACGCCTCTCCAAATCCTCGATTCTTGGGCATAGAGAGGGGTGTTTTGAAGAACACTACTCCACGTGTTTGATGCGCGGGCCGGGCCAAACAGTCTGAGGTTTTCACGGTGACCTTTGCGTGGCGCTCTGCTCCCGCTCTGCTCCCGCCCGCTCCTGCTCGCTCCTGCTCGCTCGCGCCCGCTCCCGCCCGCTCCCGCCGCGCCGTTCTCGCTCTCGGCGGCGGTAAGGCACGCGAGGTATAAAGCCCCGCGCCGCCCGCAGCGAACCCATTAATCGAAACCAACTCCTGAGGAGCTCCTCGCTAGTCCTCGCGACACGCCGAGCCCAGAGGCCGAGCCGTGCGACAGGCGAGCGCGTGCACGCGTGTGTGGCGGAGCAAGCGGAGCAAGCGGAGCAGTAGTGTGCGGGCCAGAGCCATTGTGGCGGCTTCTTTTCGAGTAAGCACCGTGTGTGGCGTGTGAGGAGAGTGTGTGCGGGCGGATTTCGTGTCAAAAAGCTTCACTCTTCTTTTCGACTTGTTTGTTTTTTGTCGTGGTTGTGATTTTGCTGGAAGTTACTACATGCGATGGGTATGGTGTGCCTGCAGGTGTACAGCCCTCCGGCCCTGTCCGGTGCGGTGATCGGCTCCCCTTCCCCCTCCCCCCCTCCTCTCGTCTCTATCTCCTCTCCGGAGGGCCTGCGGGCTCAGCCTCCCGCTCAGGCGCCGGCAGAAGTGCTCCGGCCGCGGTCCAGGCGCACAGCAGCGCCGCAGCGGACATCTCCGAGTGACCGGTTAGCTGCAGGTGCAGCAGGTGCTGTCGCAGGTGCTGTCGCAAGTGCTGCCGCAGGTGCTGAGCGAGCATCATGGCACCCCGAGCGCACCCCGACGGGGAGCACGTGGCGCAAGGTGAGCACGACAAATTGGAAGCAACTTCAGTGCAGTGTTCTTGAACGTTTGGCGAATCCCTCTGAACTTTGGCCGATAGCTCTGAGTTAAGTTGTCTAACTTACAAGGTGATGTTTTATGAACTTTAATTTATGAACCTCGATGGACCAAAGTGTTAAAAGTTGATGGAGTTGAACTTGATATGCCCGTGCCTTTACACTAACGGCCCTCGTCGCTATCGTCCTCAGACCCGGCTCACTGCCCGGCTCTCGCCGAGATAAGGAAACGCCTTGACCCAGAGCGGGGCGGCAAGGACGCTACTGCCAAGGACGAGGCCGCCGACTTCGAGGCCGCCGTGGACGCCACAGGTGAGTGCGCCAGTGCGCGGCGGCGGGTGGGTGGAGGGGTGGGGGGAGGAGGCTGGGTGTGGCTCTCCCCTCACCGGGCGGTGACCGAGGAGGGGGCTGCCGCTGCTGCCCTCCAGGTAGCCGATGACGTCGACGTGACCGGGTGGATGTTGTTGTCGCCACGAGTGCTTATCGCCTGCTCGCCGACACCTGAGTGAGTGCTCCATGTCCTGCTCCAGGCAGCGGCCTGTTCGGCTACGCGGTCCTCCTCACGGCCGGCCTCATCTTCCTGACGTGCGGCCTGCAGAACGGCATCAACGCCTACATCCTGCCCGCGGCCCGCTGCGACTTCGACCTCACGTCGGCGCAGATGGGCGCGCTCAACGCCTTCTTCCTCGCAGGTACGTGTCCGTCCGCGCCCAGCTCGATGATTGACCGCGACCAAAAACCGGATTCCGTTACGGTTTCCTTCGCCGGCCTGCCGGCCAAATCCGGTTTCCTACAACAAAGTAGCAGAAGATGAGCCGCGGCCAGGCCAGGGGGGGGGGATATACATCGGCACCGAGCTCCTCCCGCGGTTCGCACCGAGTTAACCGGTCCAGTGAGCAGGACGCGAGGTGCACCACGCCCCGCCGCGCCCCGCCCCGCCGCGCCACGCCATGGCTCTCTGCTGAAATGCATCGCAGTGCATTCTGCGTCACATCGCAAAACAGATATAATTGGAGTCAAAACGCTCTACTACTTTTTCTCACGTTTTTATTTAATAAGTCTATTGACTTAATGTTTCTAACAAAATCAAACTTTTTAAATTTAACTTCAAACGCCTTTTTAAACTTTTGAAGTTTCAACTTCACAACAGTGATGACTATTACAAATCATATCAGCTAATTAAAATAATTTGCGATAATTTGGTTATTTGCGAACGACTTTGGACCCCATACACTTTCCTCGTATGAGGTGGCTGTGTCACGCCAACGCCCTTTCAGTCGTGCCGAGGACTGGACTGCCCTTTGTTGTGACGGGGCTTTGACACCTCTGCTCTGCCCTGCTCTGCCCCCAGGCGGCATGGTGAGCTCATACGTGTGGGGCGTCCTAGGCGACGCCCTGGGCAGAAGGCCGGTCATTGTGTTCGCCCTGCTGGCGGACGCGGCCGGCACCCTGTGCTCCACCCTCTCCCAAAGCTACGCCTCCTTCGCCTTCTTCCGCTTCCTGAGCGGCTTCCTGTGAGTACACAACACATCGGCTGCGAGCGCGCTGCGCCCGTCGGGTGGGCAACCCATCCGACGCTGGCCGCCACTGTGCTGACTACTTTGTGCCACGGAGATGAGGGGGAGTACAAATATTATGCTTCAGGATCGCCAATGGAGTTCATAATGATCCCATGATATTCGTAGGCCTACCCCAGGGTCCTAGGCGGGTAAACAGATATTTTGGGGTCATATGGACTGCAATGATGGTCCTTCTCATTTCGGTAACCCGTAAGATTTGTAGCCCCGATCCTCTCTCTCCCTATGGGACGTTATCCGAACACGATCCCTGACGGCCCCCTCTGCCCCTGCAGCATCGGCGGCCCCGCGTCCATCACCTTCCTGTACATGGGCGAGTTCGTGCCGGCCCGGGCGCGCGCCACCTACTCGCAGATCGTGGGCGGCTTCTGGACGGTGTCGTGGATCCTGCTGCCCGGGGTGGCGTGGCTGGTGCTGCCGCAGCCCTGGCAGCTGCGCGCGCTCGGCGTCACCTTCAACTCGTGGCGCGTCATGCTCTCGCTCATCACGGCCCCGACGCTGCTCTGCGCCTTCCTCGCCATGCGCCTCCCGGAGACGCCCAAGTTCCTCATCTCGCAGGGCCGGCTCAAGGAGGCCATGGACGTGCTGCGCAACATCTACGCCATCAACACGGGCCGCGACGCGGACGACTATCCGGTGCGGCGGCTGGCGCTGCCCGCCCAGGACGCCGCCGTGGACGTGGTGGAGCTGGACGCGGCCCCGGAGCTCAACTTCAAGTCGGTGCTCTCGGTGGCGCGCCGCATGGC